TCTGTCCTTTGACCTCTTGCCTTGACATGACCTTATAAGCCCGGTGTTGAGAAATCTTGAGCGCTTATCGTGCAGAATGATGAACAAATTCTTTTAAGTACAACAACTTAAACAAATAAAAAGATATGCTGCTCGCGATAGACACAATTTTCAATCAGCAAAAGCTTTTGCCCGCATTATCAGCCAATCATTTGAAACTTATCACACACACATCTGTAGAGAAGACCAAAAAACCAGTAAGGTAGTGCTGCTCAGTCTACCTCAGGGAACGTGTCTTTTGTACAGAAAAAAATTGCAACAAAGTTTGGTCTCCCAAAAGGTAGTTCATATATCTTGGTATCTGTCAATACAAGGAACGAAATAAGACTGGCAGAGTAAGCTTTCTCTGCGACCATTGAGCTTTCTCTGACTCAAACAGGAAAAGATTCAAAGGAATCAAATCATCCCATGAGAGTTGTCCTCGAAATAATGGCTCAGTCTTTCAAATTCATCTTGCTGAATTCAGATCGTGGATCATGTACTTATAATCAGTAACTAGGACCTAACTCCCCTTGAATCAGCATTTGCCTTCACTTTGCCTAATTTGTAAGGCTATTTGCTGGATGTCTGCTGTGTTAATCTTACAAGTATAGTTGTCAGTCCATTCAGAGCGCCTACTGCTCTATGTTGTGTTGTTGCATGTCTGCCCATTGAAAAGCTTATTCAATATTACCTGGATGATACGTAATCACATACTTACTTATTACAAAACTATCAAGGGAAGAGCTGAGAGGAATTTCAATCATTGAACCAATGATGGAAAATGCCAACAGTCACGCTCTCGTGGTATCTCGCAAACTTGTCAGCTCAAAGAAACCATATTATTGTATCTTAGTTGATCCTATTGCTCTTTAATTCCTGTAAGTAAATCTGTTTTTCTAAGTAGATCTATTTTTATAAAGGTTCGGCCCTCACCACGGCCATACCCCCCAGTCATTTTATACATTGTGGGATTATTTATAGTACAAGTCCTGTCGACTGTGAGAACTATGATGCACATCATGTAGACAAGCAAATCCTTGTCTACATGATGTGCATCATAGTTCTCACGGTTGACAGTTTGCGGCTTGTTCGAAATGCTTCTTTCTACAAATCACATGGTTCCCGACTCTATACCTAATTGGAAATTAGGTATCACCGGATGCCCGGCAGGATGGTCCGGGAAATCTGGCCGGACCGGACCGGATGCCGGTCAGCTGCGGATACCATGCGATATGAATAGATTTCTTAAATTCCCACGGCTCCAAGATGCGCGTTAGTATATGCGAGCGAGTGAAATGTGATGCAAAAAAACGATTCCCTAAAGAGGAATCGTAACAGAGTACATCAACAATATAGGCGCATCCAGATCTGCATTGTAATGGAACACGCAATGGAACACGCAATGCCACAAACTCGTAACCTTTGGGATAGTAGTGATGTCATCCTTCCATCTGGACCAAATGGTCTGTTCGTTACCACTAGGATGACTCGCAGTCCAATTCAGGACGAATTCTCGCTACATTGCCCTCGTAATCACGACCTCTACATAACAAGCTAAAGCCCTGCCGGCAGCAACAATGACAGTAACGTCAAAGTGGACCCTCAAGCAACCTGTATTGAAAATCACGGTTATATCGAGAAACAGCAAAAATGCAGCAGGAAATACAGTTTTCAGCGCCCCGCCTGGAACGAGTAGTTTAGCCGGTCCCGTTGGTGGTTCTTTGGTCGGTGCTAATTTTAAGCTTGTATTTCTTCCCATCCTATTGGTTTAGTATCTAAAACAACATGATTACCGTGACTTAAGTATTGCTCGACCCGACTTGCCTCTGCTTTTTTCCGTGAAAAATACTGATTTCAGTGAATCCATCCTTGTTTATCCTATTATTGAACAACATGACCATTATGTGCGCGTTCATAGTTGGCATTGCAACACAATGTAGAACACTGCAAACTGGCCAAACAAATGAATTGGGATCATGATGTACTTATCACATGGCACACAGACATCACGGAAGGGCCAAGAAATTCAAAGACATGTAACAAATTTTTCTCCAGGTGATCTCCCCAAAAGGCAAATTTGCATTGCCTAAAAATTGCTCAGGTTACGGTGTCACCCTGACAAATTCGGGACACTGCCTGTAGTTTTCTCGACAATACATCTTTACTAAAACTCTCCCCACAGCCTGCATGTGAAGCATATATAACCGACCCGAAATGTTCACGATAGGTCAGTGAAAGAGAAACAAGGAAACAGTTATTAACCAATATGGTGACTCTTGGAACTTCAAAGACAATTATGTGACACTTTTTCCGCCCGCTCATTGTACAGTTTTACTGTTCAAGGCGGAAATTCCATTACATTTACTGGTAGAACCGCATTCGCAACCGGAAAAATGGCCATTTTTCATCATCTTTGCCACAAACAGGTGAAAAATCAAAATTTCAAAGTATATATGATCTCGACTCGCTCCCGGACTCAGTTGTTGTGTATAAATCGTTCTGAGTTACACGCTATTACGCCGTGGTTGGATACTATGGACATAGTTAATAAATCTAGATAGAAGTGCTATACAAAGTTGTAGTGAAGGACAGACATACAAACACACAGAAACGGAAAGAGAGATAGAGGGAAAGAAGTAGAGAAACATATGTGCACTTATACGTAGTCAAATTTTTAAGTAGCAAGTATAGAAACATAGAGATTAAATGGTCGGAAGAAACGCGAAAAAGAGAGAAGGAAAAAAAGGAAAGAGATTTAAGTGGGTTGATTAGATCAGGCGAAGAGAGAAGAGTGAGCCGAATGAACCGAATGAATAGAAAGAAAAAAAAAGTATGAACGAAAGTCAAAAAGGGACACTCACATGATTGATAAATTAGATTAAAAAAAAACAAACAAGAAAAACCCAGAGACGAAACCCCGAAAGAACTGCAACCAAAAGCTGTAGAGTGCCAATGCAATGAGGGAGGAAGTAATTTTCATGGATAGATTTTTGATTCGACGTTTTGGTGCTGCTGCTGCCCGTAATCAGCACTAAAGTGCTGAGAACTTACTGAGAGTGACTAGCAAAAGCGCTGTGGTTCCAACTAGACTAGACTTGCAACTCGAGCTTGGATGGCGATAACTTGCCGATTCCTAGTTCGAGTCCGAGTCCAAAGGTCGTGTTAATCCTCGCTGTAATTCTATGAAGAAGAACAAAAAAAAACGAGGGATGAGGGTTTAACACAAAAACAAAAATCGTGGCAAAAAAAAATGGTAAAAGGAAAAAACGTACCCTATTAACCCTCCCTTCTTCTTCAAGTTTCTCCACCTCTTCTCCTCATCGAACACCCAAAGCCTTTTCTCTAAATACGATTTTTTGAGCCTGAGATCAGTTTCTTTCTATCTTTGCCTTTCCTCCCTTCTACCTCTACGTGCACGGTCGTCCTCGGTCTGGATCTCCTCTTCCTTCCCTCTATCCCTGCCATCATCTCCCAACAAATTCGCAAGCTTCTCCTCGAGCTCTCTCAAATCCACTCAAAACCCTCCGATACATCCATCACAGGGCTAATCAGAACGAACTTCAACGAGTAGAACCTAGGTTCCTTTTCCGATCTCGAGTCATATTTCTGTATCCAAACCCGACCCCCTCTTCCTCTCTTTCCCGTTCTCAAGTTCAATGCCCCAACGATTTCTTCCCACCCATCTGCATTGGCTACTCTCCTCCATTTCTCCCTCTGGGTATTCGAGCTTCGAGGTGGACCTCTCTAGCTTCTCGTGGTGCAATTTGTCTTTGAGCTTCGAGGTGAATCTCATCTCTCTAGCTTGTCGTGCAATTTGCCTTTGAGCTTCGAGGTGAATCTCTCTAGCTTGTCGTGCAATTTGTCTGTGAGCTTCGAGGTGGATCTCTCTAGCTTCTCGTCTTGCATAGAATTTGTCGATGGCGCGTTGACGAGCAAGGACGAGACGGATAGGAAGTGCAGCGATAGCTGGACAAGCTTGAACCATATCCCTAACCACAGCCGCGCTATATCGAAACAATCTCAGCTCTTTCACGCCTTCTAACAAACCCTCTCTCACTTCTGTGTCTGTCTCGTCAAGGAGAAACTCCTGTTCGATTATGGAGGGAGGGATCGAGGAGTAGTGGAAATGGATAGAGAGAGAAGAGACTTGGGGAGGGAAGCAGCTTGGGTGGAATTTGTAATAGGTGAAGAGGGAAGGGGCAGTGCAGGAGTGGAAGTCGACAGAGATGGAGCGAAGGTGGGGGGTTAGTGATGGAGTATTAGGAACAGAAAAAACAGACGTAGAGAGGAGAGGAAGAGGAGGGGTAAGACATTGCAACATCGCAAGGACGGAAGATCCGATGAGAGAGTGCTCGTAATAATGTTCTTGAACGAACAGATCAGAAGGATGCTTCGTTCCGGCGTATTGGAACGTAAGTGAATGACAGCGGGAGGGCATTAACATGGCGAGGGAGGAACATAGGGAGAACGACGTCGACGACGACGAGCTGTCAGTGGTGCGGTATTGCGCGGGTTTGGCATTTTTAGAGTTAGCTTGTGTTTGAAGTTGGAGTTTAAGGGCATTGCGGAGCTGGAAGGCAAAGACGGGAATCTGGATGTACACGTCTCGTGAGGCAATAGAGAGGAAATTTAAGAGAGGAAATTTAAGAGAAGACCAAGAGCGGTTGATGAGCAGAGAGGAGTTGATGAACGTCACTCGTTCTTCCGGACTCAATCCCAACGAGTCGTCGGTCCAGAACAGTTGGGTGATTTCTTCGATGAGCTCAACTGGCAGACGAGGAAAAACAGAGGAGTTCATGTTCGTCGTTTTGGTATTCGTTTCTTGTGAGATTTTATACACCTTGTGCGGAAGACATATCTTGGACGTTGGCAGGAAAAAAAAACAGGAGATGTTTCATGGCTGTGTAAGTATTTGTTTCAATTTGAATGACGTCAGTTCCGGTCGTTGAGCAAAAAGAAGGGACTCATTGACAATTTCATGTACCGTTCGGGAATCGAACCCAAGCCGCTTGCGCAGTGGGCAAGCATGATAACCACTTCACCAACGGTGTCACCGAATAAACCCGACAAAACAGCACAAGATCACTATGTGTCATGGCCGTAAACACTCTTCCTCTCTCCGCGTCTCTGCCTTTGTCTCTGTCCCTGTTCAACAATACAGCTTTAGACCTGCCTAAAACGCGTGTGACGAAATTATTCCTCCCTCTCTTCTTGAAGAAAGCCTCGCACTCCTATAATCTTCTTTGTGCTTCAGTCCAACTACAAATTTGTACATAGGATTCTTCTTGTTGATGAACAGGGAAGGACAGAAAAATAGTGATACATAGGACATGGTCATTGCGGCTTAAATTTGAGAGTGCAGGACACATTTCTTCACCTTCTCCTCCCCCCCTATAATATCTCCACTGGCAGTTTCAGTGGCCATGGCAGGAGGAGCTTCAAGTTGTCATGTTTGTCAAATGGTTCTCAAATATTTCAAAGCCCCATTTATCCCCAGACCAACAGACTTCAAACTTCGAGGATGGGGACATCCCAGCCGAGTCCAGACTTGATCCAAACTGAGCGGCAAATGTTGTTCCGACCCTGACATCCTCGCTGCAGTGTTGCCACGGGCCCGACCAGGGAGTCTGGGGTTGAGCAGAACTTTTCGGTCCTGATCTCTAGGGTTGGGTCAGCCAGAAAGAGGTTATTTTGATCGTGTCTTTGAGTTTCCAGGCTCCCTGAGGCAGCATTTGGGTTTTGGTAGTCACAAGTAGCAGTAAGACTCAGAACGATCCGGTGAAAATGAGTCTGTCATTCCATGACAAAGGTGTTACTCTAACTATACTATATTGGGATGTTGAACAAAAAATACTAAGCAAAAATGCGAGCTCAGAGAATACCAAAAATGTCTCTAGAGTTTTGCAATCAGCTGTAACAGCTGTGTGCAAAACGAAGAGCCGCTCCAAAAACCACTCCACTCAGGCGGACTTATAAATCCACATGGTGAACCCAGCCATACAATGGGGCCTTTATGATCAGGGAATAACTTGAAGCTTGAGTGTCTTGTATAGACATGAATGTGTCACCACCCGAATTTGGACCCCACCCGAGAGCGGAGTAGTTTTCGTAGTGGCCTATCGTTATGCACACCAAAATGTGTGCGTCTGTCGCCAATGTGGTCCTATTTCAATTTGGATCAGAAGTTTCCTGACTTCCAATGACAGCCAGGCCCCACCGCTTGTAGTGGCCAAGACTTTATCTAAGCCAAACTGAAAAGTTGGCTGCGGCAAGTACGGCTTGGCGAATTGAAGCCAGTGGATGCAAAAATTGATATCGTTCCCGTATTATCTATCCCACTTTCTAGTATGTACTATCAGACCACGTTAAGCCCTCTAAAAGATAGCCCTTTTGATTTTCATTAACCCATGACTCCAGTCGTAGCTAATGAGCTGGATCCCGGCTTCCAAGCATTTGACGTACTTATAAGCGGATGTCAAAAGTACTGATAAGCGGATGTCAAAATACATAGAGTGTTAGAAATCTCATTGTCACTTTCAGTGATAGTCGCCCGCCCACTGCGAGATGCTGTTCAACTTGAAATGGGACTTCCGGATTACTATGTCATTACCGACATACCTATTTCTTATGAGTAACATTATAATACCGTTT